TGAAACAGTTTGTATTTTATACACAGAGTATGTACACTGGTTTTAGAAATGTGGGGTTTATCCATGCAAATTTAATACAAAAAACTATTTACAAAAAAATAACAGTAGGAACATTTTTCAAAAGAAACATATATGTTGGAAGCTCCAGCAATAATGGAAGTCCTGAAAAAAGACTTAGTATGTACAAGTAGACAATCTCCAGAAGTGTGGAAGATGCACTTTACAAGAATATGAAATGCAGAATGAATTAAAATGCACTATCAAAGATGTTGCAAATATATACACAATTTAAGCATCTATTTTTAAATGATCACTCTCCAACTGTGCCTCAGAACTACTTCTGTCATGTCCTGCACACATTTACATATTGATCATTTGGTTACATTGCATTTTCTGAGTTTTATAATCACGAGTTACGAAATAAAATAACTGAATACCAACGGAATGATAATCGTAAAGCAATCACATTTTCCTTGTTCTACACATTACATAATAGTAAAAACTATTCACATTATTCCCAACATAATCCACCAAACAACCCTTTTGCAATGCCTGCATATGCCCCTCATGGGAATCAAAGCCTTGCATCACCTGCTGCTGCAACAGACACGAACAGTTGCAGCTAAGAATTCCCACAGTTGCAGCCATGCTTAATGTAACACATCAATTCAGGAAACACAACCGTATTAACATTTGCATGTGAAGAGCACAATCTTGCACATGCTCCAGAAAGCGTACTAATACTGAACAATGGGAGTTCCCATGCCAGGAATGGCATGACCAAATCCTAAACAAATATAGCAGTTCTGGAAATGTTTCACTGGTTCACTCATATTTAAAAATGAAACAAAAAGGTATCCTTGTGATTATTTCCAAATATTCTGTTTTACAACCTGCCTTCATAAAACTTTTGTGGAAAAAAAAAGGTTACATTTGCCATATTTCATTTAAAGAAGTGAGGAAATCCTCATAGTGCCAAGAATTCATTTTAAATCACTAACTTTATGTTGTAGCTCAGTTAGAAAACTACTGAGGGACATTCTGGTCTCACTGAAGTCATAGAATCAGAGAATCATTTAGGTTGGAAAAGACCTTTAAGATAGAGTCCAACCATAAACCTAACACTGCCAAAAGGGAAGGTTTCCCAAAACAATTAAATTTGCTGTCAGTTTGAGCTATTATTCTCCTTTAATATTTGCTAAGATACTAAAGGAGTCCTGCAAAGACTTTTTGGTTTTGTTTAAAATTTAGATTCTAAATGTATATGGGAAAACTATATTAAAAATTCTTCTTTGAAAATGCAGTCAGCTATAAAACATTTGAACTAAAAATGACTGATTATGTCATTTTTATAACAACTTTTATTCTTTCCATAGAAATTAATCAGGTAGCTTATAGCAATTTTGCCTCCCTTTGCCTCCCATGTTAAAAAAAGTAAAAAAAAAAGATCAAAAACAATGAGGGAACAAATACTGCATATAACCATAACTTTAAAATAATGCTGTCAGAATTGTACTATGTGAAATACTTAAAGACAAATAAAGCAAAGTGGCATTTTATTATATAAGAAACACAGGAACCAGAACTGTTCCTGTGCAGTGGCAAGTTTAAACTAAAATTCAGTTAATCACATATGTTCTCTATTTTAACAGTCAAGACCAGCAGAAATTTTCTTCACAGGAAGAGAATAATTTTTTACCTTCATAGTTATTTTACCAAAGAGATCTGTGCCATAAAATTCTTGATTAAAAAATACAGTTTGCCTTTCATTCCATTTGTAAGTGAATTACGTATATCCCACAGTGTGTTGCATATGGAACAAGAAACAGTATTACTGTTCTGATTCACTCACATGAGAGGACAAGTGACACACTAACCTGTTAAGAGCCATGGTGCAATTTCCAATCAGTGAAGTTCTGTAGTTCCTAGAGCAAGCTTGCTCTGTCTCACTACGTCATTCTTTGCGGGTAGAAGTTAAATACTGGCAAACATCTACTTATCTATTACTCTCAAGTAAAGTTACTGCTTTCCTTCGTGTTTTATCCAGACTGCAAACACGTATTTAAAAGAACTCTGCAGCCTATGCAGGAGGAGGCAGCAGTATGAAGTAAGGAGGTGCTTCCTTCAGAAGTTGCAGTCTCATCACTACAAAGCCAGAGGGTAGTGCAAATGGCACCAACTAGGTACCCTACCCAGGGCTTGGAATGGGCAATGTTTTCTGCATTCTGCAGCACTGGGATAGAGCTATCCAAAACATACAGTCTTTGGGAAAACAAACATGCCAAATTTCTTGTTGTTGTAACCTCTGCGGAAAGCTCCATGTACTTAAGGATCTGCCTCCCTTGCCATGAAGCAGCTACAAAACCTTTCTTTCTCTACTAAAACTAAAAGCTTTTCATTGTGAAGTGATTCAGTGTGAGATCAACTCAGAGCACTCTCTCCTTGGAAAACTACACTTTGCCTTTCCCATTCCTGGTCTTAATGATTTTTTTTAAAATTCCAAAGAGTCACCTACAAACAGGAAATATTTCACCAGTTTTTTTGTGTGTTGGGGTGGTGTTATGTTTATTTGCTTTTGTTTTTGAAGTAGAGGTCACTTTAATATGATGTACCTCTTGAAAGAAACACATACGTTAGCCTGATTTAGAGATGAAAAAGAGAAATTTGATTTACCAATACAAAATCATCTCCTATTTGCAGGAAATTGCTAAAACCTTCCACAAGTTGCTTTTGGTTGAACTCAGTTGAATTATTAATGTGCTTTATTTCTGCATTGGTACACAGACCAATTCCGAGACAAACAGGCAGACCGCAGCTGTATTAGATACAACTACCTTTCACACAAGCATTTAAGAAATCAGCAGAAAAGAAATGTCAGACCTTTTTCCTTCTCTTCAATACTGAGAAGAGACATGGAAATTCAATTTTAGTGAAAACAGATGCCTTTTCACTTTTTGTTTTAATTTGGCTACAGATTTATGTCAAAATCTGAGAAGACTGCTGGTAAACGGTAAGATATTTGAAATAAAGTTTTTAGTGCAGTAAATAACTGATGGTAGTCCTCACCTGCAATTTTACTGAGGTAACATACCTTCCCATAATATGAAAGCTGTGCTTCAAAGTAATTTTTCCTACCATCTTAATATTGTATATGGCATATCAGAAAATTTGTATTAAATAAATGAATCAGTGTAATATTTTAAAGCTTCCTTTGACTTACCAGAGGTCACTATTCTTAGTCAAGAATGTGACACTAAAGCTTTGCTAGTGTCAAACAAATTTAAGCCATGTTTGCTATGGGCTCCAACTTGGGTGTTCCATAAACCAAAAAGGTGAAATCCTTACTGAAGTTAAGAGCAAAACTTGCATTGACTTCGGTGAAGCTAGCGTTTTACCCAGAGATTCTTATTATTTGTCATAGTTATTTATTGTTTCAAATGTATTCCTCTGTACTTTATGATAATTTTAGTTCTTATATTTTGGAAGGCCTCCAGATACATGGGTATAGATGGTTTACTGCATCCTCAGCAGTGCCCCAGCTAGCACACTGGATTAGCATTATTATATAATAGATGAAAAGCATTTCTGAGATACTGTGGGGGAAGTCACCACACTTTACAACTATTCTAATGCCACTGCTTTAAGATCTCACAATATCTGGGGCTTTATTGCTTAAATGAAAGATCATTCATGTGCGACATCCAATGACATAAAAATAGAAAAAACACACAAGGCCAGAAGCCCTGTCAGTATGTTGATTCACTCAGTAATTTATGGTTCACACCACATTATTGTAGTAACTTTGTATAGCATTCACAATAACAAAAGCACCCTAGTTAACTCTTAAATTTATTAGGAAAACTTAATGCAGTTTCCTAAAGCTTTTAATGGTGACTTCTCTTCACATCCAAAGTAAAAACTGAGCAACTACTATAGGAATTGGGCAGGCGTCCGCTTTTAACCATCCTATCAGCTGTACCAAGTATTAAGTAATGACATTGCATCCTAAAAATAGGAAAGGATCTCTCAAACACACTAAATGTTGGGAGCAGGGATTCTGGAATCTCAGAAGTCACCAGTGTCATTGGAGCATTTTCTTTAAAAAAAGTAAAGACGAAGGAGGAAAGTGGCATACAGTAACGAACAATGTCAAGTCACTAGATCTGTGAACAAACAAAAATAAGTAAGAAGATTCTGGGAATCAAATGGAAAGGGAGAAAGGGAATAGTAGGCAAAATCTTGTACAGGGAAGACAGCAGCAATTTCCATGGGCTGCTTTAAAATTAGAACTCAAAACTTTTTTAGCATCTTTTTTGCAGTTGCTCCTAAAAAAAAAAATCACAATGGGAACAGCCAACTTTAGCAAAGCTTTAGATTATTATTATTTGTAAAAGCAGCTAAAAAGAGATGAGAAAAGATTCATCCAGGCACAGTGGAACTTCTCAGATTGCTCCTAAGGGTACTTGAAGGCCTTAATCTTTGCAATGCTACAAAGGAAGCCCTGGAAGAGTCATTATTATCCTTTCCCATAAGCATGAACATGGCCATAATAATTTCCAATGAATGGCAAAGTAAGACTGTTTCTAGCAAGTTTGTGGGGAAGAAGTCCAGAGTACTTAAAAAAAAGTTATTTTAGTAGTTTTCAACTTCAGAGATACAGTTTAAAATGAGTATGTTAATTGCATATCCAGTTTTCAAGTTACTTAGGAAATAAGCTAAGCTTAAAAAAACCTTGTAATCATCTGGCATGCTACATCAAGGGAATTCTTAATGTTTACACTGTGATATAACTTTAAAAATTTAGATATAGTAGGAAAAAAGTTACTTTAAGATCAGAAAACATCTTTAAATATGACAATGAAATAGTAGTGTTGATCAGTTTAAGCCTGATAACTGAAAGTGACAATTTACAGTTAGCAATTCTATGGCTAACATACCAAAATAGAACTTTGTTGTTGTCAATACCTTAGCAAGGAATTGAAAGACCAACTTTTTTTTTTGAATGGTTGTGTTCTTCAAATGTAGCAAACAAGCATTTTGCTCAATGAATTATATTACTTTATCATTTTAGTCTTAGCATGACTTTTCAGATACGGCCTTTAACAAAAAACAGAGACTTAAGTTGTTAAAACAAGTATTATGTGAATGATTTAAAAACCAGACAGATTTGAAATACCGTACTTCAAAGGTCAAAGCAATCCAGTTTCCTTAAACAAGTATTTATGTAACCTAAGATTTATATCTAGGACTTTGCAAATTAAGTTTTACGCCAGCCTCTCCATGAGCTGTATTTTAAGAAAATACTATAAAAACATTAGTGGTTTTTAACTACTAAACATGAATCAGCTTGTTGCGATGGATTTAAAAATAATTTATCTTTCTTTTTTTTAAAGTCTTGTCATCAGAAAGAGGTTACTTTTCCTCTCAGCTATTGATTTTAAGGACTATAGTAAATGAAGTAAGGAGTAAACTATACCCCTCCCTCATTCTGTTATGAATTATATTACATGGGGTGTTGATCAGTTGGAAAGAACAGAATCAAATCTTGTTACATGCTTGGCAAACATATCCCTCAATCAAAATCAATGTAGCCTGAAACAGAAAATCTGTGACAGTCAGAACTTTTTTTTTTTAATTGAGCTACCTATTCATGAAGAACAAACTAATGCAAACAGATCTATTACTAAAATTATGAAATTATTTGCAACTTGTTTGGACAAGAGAACTCAACTGTGTATGGTTTCAGAATGTTCTCAAAACACCGAGAATTTGTGCAGAAGCAAACAAATGCATAAACTCCTACGTTTCAAAAAACCACCACAGTGGAAATTTTTCTTTCACATTTATCCAGAAAAATCTAATGTCTCAGCACAGTGACATTTGTACAAACTGATTTGTGTGCTATGCCACACTTGTGTAAATTATACAATAAATCCCATAAACACTAAAAAAGATAAACATTGATATTTCCCAACTAATTATGGATAAACCTGTTGTAAAAACGTAACGTGAGATCAGGAGCAATATTACACAAAATCCTGAAAGTCACAGCGTAAACCTGAGATTTTGGCAGTTTTATCAAAATGTCCTAAACTACTCTGTATGCATCACTAGTCCTCATGTCGTACTCACCATGTATATTTGTTTGTCCCAAACAAAGAAAAGTAGACAACTTTTTTTTTGTCCAATAATACATTAAACCAAAAGTGATTAGGTATTATCAAATTAAATATCATAAATAAAAAGTATTTACAGTATTTTCTAATTATTAGACATCAAAATAACCAATTAAATTGTGCAACAAACTTAAAACACCCAACATCAAAAATGTGAAGTATTACTTAAATCTTCACATACTGATTTTACAAAAACCTATTAAAATATTTTAAAATTTCCATTTTATCTATTTTAAACAAAGAAATTTCAAAAATGTTTAAGACTATTAAGAGTTATCAATTACACAGGCACTTCACATGTAAACAATCTACAGTACAACTGAAAAAAATATTTGGCACCAACCTAGAAGACTGGAAAAAACTCAGTAAAATGTGTCCTTTTCCCATTATATACTGTTTTGTGTAATCACCATACACTCAGACTAAATACTGGCAATGTTAGAAGTGTGTAAGTTACAATCAGGAGTGCAAAAAATAAAGAACACAAATATTAAGCTTTCTGAGAGAGTGAAAGTGGATTACAAGTGATCAGTCGCTTGCATTTTTACCATCATACCATGGCTACATTTTTGTCTTACCTTTAAATCAAATGATTGACTTGAAAGAGTAAAGGGGCGGGGTGGGGTGGTGGTAATGTGCTTTATACTTCTAAAATAATTCAAACACCATTTTCAATGTAGGAAAAGAAATCCAGCATTTAACTGTAACACTGAGAGATGTTAAATGGCAGCTTTTAACTTAAATTAACTGGAAAGAGAAACTGATGTTACCACCATCTCTTTGTGCATCCAATTACAAAAAAGAAAAAAAAGAATAATTATGTTCTTTTAACTGTCAGCTGACTCCAAGGTTTTCATGTACAACTCCAAAGTAAGGCTCTCTACAGCATCTGGACAGATATTAGTTTTTGATGGCTTGGATGTTCCCATGTAGGAAGCTGAACTGCCTCAGAGCAATACAGATCAACAGATCGAACGGTAAGTTGTCTAGCTTCGAAGAAGTCACGTCACATGGAGGAAAGCTGAGATACTTTCAGTGTAGGCAATTCAAGCAGAGCTTGAACTGTGAGGCCAACCTTCACCAGACCCCTTTCCTCCAGAATGTGATGAGGCAAGCAAAGTCTCTCCTGCAAAATAAAGCAGTACGTGTATCATGCTTCATTCTTTTTTTTTTCCCCCAAAGGCAGGTAACAAACACGTTCTCTCTGAAGTCACACATACATCACTAAGACACTTGCATAGAAAATGTCTTCGACCTTAGATTTTGCATGTGGTTCTCTACAGTAACAGAATGTTCAGAAACCAATTATATCTAAGATCTGTTTAAAGTGTTAAACTATGACAACATCAGAAGACACATAAAAGACTGCTAATTTCATAAAGCCAAAGACTCTGTTTCTTTTCATAAGCAGAGCAAGAAAAACAGGCTGATGGGCACTGCTGGCTCAGTGGCTTACTTCCCCCTTCCCTTGTTTTGTAGCCTTATTACCAATTTTTCCCTTGGGAAAACTTAGAAGTGCTGACAAACTGGGTCCCCAGTAATGAGCCATTCCCCAAGAAAGTCATATTTCAGTTTCAAAATTCAGCACAAGCTGAACAATTTTCCCAAGTGCTAGCTGGTGTTACATGTAATTCAGGAGGTAAATCTTAGCATCTCTAACTTCTGAATGGCCTGTGGCTCCACACTAGATAGAAGCTGTGGCAGACCAGTAACATAAGCTTCTAAATCCATGAACTAATTCTCTTGTTCCACTAAAAAGGGTTGAGGGAGTTTTTTTGTCTCTTGTAATATGCAGAAAATTATTTGATCTTTAGTCACTGTCCCTGTCCCCCGTCCCCCTCCAGGGAAGTAAGACGATGAACTTGGGCAACAGAAGCATGAATAATGGGCTGCAACTACGGCCATGCTAAAAAAGATAGCTAATCAGTTAGGCTACATATTTCTGTAATTGCAGGGTTTTTCCCAGGCAGACACTGAAATTCATTCCAAACTGAGTTGCTAAACTCAAGACTTTCAAATATTACAACATCACCCTCTCGCATCAGTTCTTCTGTAAAATAATCATCTAAACAAGGAGGTATTATTTTTACTATAAGGAACTGACTAGAAACCCATAAAGTAGCTTCCTCAAGTTCATGTCACAGGCCAGAAATGGCACTTCTTTTCATATCTTCAAGTTCCCTGGTCAGTACTATCATCACTATTGCTCCCTGAATTAAGCCCCCCAAAACACCCATCTTGCTGACATTTTCTGTTGTTTTTAATAATAAGTCAATAAAGCAGTTAGTATACCTGTGGAACGCCCAATTTTTTACAAGCATCAAGAAAGTTTTCAACATTTCTTCGGCATTTTGCCATACTGAGTTTAGGCTGTAAAGACAGGATGTTAGATCTTCATCATACATTTGTGAAATATTGTACATTTCTGATGCAAATTCAGTTACAATTGCTAAAACACAGAACAAATTCTATGGAGACTCAGTATATGAAAATAGCTCTTAAACTAGACTTCTGAGCCTTGCTTAATGCTTCTTGCAGAAAAATCAAAGTGAGGAATGTAGCCAATTAAAAAGGTAAACAAGATTAATGATGTTTTAGTATTGAAATTCAAAAGCTTGTTTTCACACAAGATGCAACAAAAGTGAGATAAATGACTTACCACTGCTGGCGACGGTACATGAATGCTGGCAACAGAACGTGGCCTTATGTGATTGGCTAAATGGCAAAGAACTACTCCATCCATCAATGCTGCTCCAATGTCATCTGGCAAAATTACTTTTAACCTTGATTCAAGATTCTATTAAGAAGTCCATAAGTAAGTTACTTTCAGCATTAGCTAATTTTCAATTTTAATTCCAGGGTATTTTGAAGTATTCAGTTTAAAGGGGACATTTTAATACTAAAGTGAAGTAAATGGAGTTAACTCACACTTTAGTTAGTACAGATATCCTTTTCTCTTTATCATTAACATTACATTCCCTTTGCCTGTTTTTTTTTGTTTTTTATGAGATAGCTACATACATTGAAAAAGACATGCAGCCAACAACTACCATGATACATAGCTCTCAAAGCCATAAGATGAACTCACTACTCAATAGGAAAGCACAGAATTTAAGGACGCAAATGTCAGGCTGAATACCTCATTAGCTGTTAGTGTGCAGAATTTGTGGGTTGAAATCATACACCATTTTACTAGGAGAAGGAGAAAAAAAAGAAAGAGGGGAACACAACCACTTCGGGCATGGCCATTTCACTCATGCAGATGACAGTTAAATAGCTGAGGAAAGGGTGGCCAAGAAGTGCCCACAATTGTGTTGCAAAACAGAGAAGGGAAGCAGGGAATGTTTTTTCCCCACACCAGCAACAAGCCTTCACCGCTCAGTAAAGTGCAAAGTAAGTAAAACGGACAAATACAGAAACAGTCTTCATAGAAGTCACACCCCAAATTAGAATTAGTACTGCCCTGGAAAGCAGAGCAGCTACAATTCACAGTTAACTATAACTGTTAAATATCTTGAGAACAGAACTATAGAGAAAACAACTTACTGGAACTCTGAAATGTAGGTCCCATTCAGTATTGTATAACTGGTAGCAACTCTCTATATTCAAAAAGCATTTGGCTATTCAGAAGACTATGACCATCTTCCTTCAAATCTCAGGTCAAATAGCAGCAAACACAAGCAGACATATTGTCTCCCTAGAAAAAACTAAAACCTCAGAAACCTAAAAAAATTTTCATTTTTCATTTCACTTCATTTTTCAGCTAAAAAAACCCCATTTAGTTCCTGGTTGGTATTTTGGTTGGATCAAAGATAGTATCAGTGTAGCCTGTTACATGAAACTCCTTAGGAAGAAATATCACTACAGAGATGCCCTTGTGCAACTGTCATGATTTGCAGGCCTTTATAATAAAGGTCTAAATTGTGGTACAGAGCAACCTAAATGCACTGCACTCATATAGTAAATAATGGTACATACATTACGAAGCTGTCTTATTTGTTCCCTTTCTTCCCTTAAATGCTCCATTTTCCTCCTCATTGTAAATCCAGGGTCCACTGCACCATAGTCCTGACGTGATGCACGGCTGAAAGCTATTAAACATTAATGAAGTTAGTTTTCAGAATTCAGATTTTAAAAATGCAATGACTAAAAACCTGCCACCAAGGATAAAAGTGGGAAAAAAGCTGCAGAACTTTTCAGAACAAATATATTTAAGTATCCTGATGTAAAAGATGCTATGAAATTTATCTTTCAAATAAAATACACAGATCATCTTAAGTGCAAATGGATAACTAGAAAATATGGAGATAGAATCGACTTCAATATTCAAATATCTGTTTAAGATATACAACTGCATTTGCAATTCTCCAAGCATATTTTGCAGTCTGGATTTGAAAGTATTTTCATTGTGTTTTACTTTTAATCAAGTATAAAGTCTTTATGGAGACTAAAAAAGAGACAGAACTTCCCGATATAACTTACAGTGAAAGACTTTTTTATATATATATATATACACACACACTCACACATATGTGCATGTTAGTTGTGCATATGCAGAGACACAGCAATTGCTTATTAAAGAACTAATTGAAAAATATGAAATGTCTCATCTAAAAGTTCAGACATTCACTTTACTATTCTTCACTGTCAGAAAGCCTTCAAGTGACAATTCTATTATTTTATAGAACACTGGCAAATAAAAACACTTCTGTAGCAATATGACTATATCCTTAAGTATTTTACCCCATGCTTTTGAACAACAACAAAAAAAATCAATACTTACACCTTTAGAACTTTCTATATTGTTTCTAATAGTTTGGATTTTAGCAAAAGATCTAACAATCAAAAATAACAGGAAATTTTATAGATAATCTTGAAATCACTGCTCTGAATTTATACATTATGAAAGCATGTAGTTTGTGTGTGTATAGAAAAATATAATTGCACATTACCAACAGTATCTATGGAAGCATCTAAATCCACAAAGATTTTGGCTTGTAACTAAAAAACAAAATGCCATTCACATTCCTAGAACTGAGTGAAAGGGGTGCTGCTGTTTTACAGACACACGCTGGCAGTGAGTGGCTCCTAGGAAGCCTACTACCGCACTGAGAAAAAATGGGCTGAAAAGTCTTAACAAGCCTCCTTCCTCCTATCAAATCTGCACCTTCCTGCAGCCAAGGATGTAGGTAACTCAGAAGCCTCTAAATGATCACAGCCAGGCATGTCCTGGTACATGCAACTAAACTATCTCTGGCACAGAAGTTTCACGGAACTGCTAGTATTAAGGAAGTCAAACTTTGCTACCATAAACACTGAATGAAATTAGACTGAAGAGTTGAGATCATTCTTTCTTTATGAATTTGCATGAAGACTGTTCCCTTAAAAACAGAGAAGAGTGGTTATTAACTGGAAAAACGATTGCACAGTGGCTTTTCCAAACTATGGTTTACACTGTTAACATCCAATGTTCACAGACACTTGCAAACAAAAGAATACTGTAACTGAAAAAAACCCTGTATTATTTCTACCTAGATTTCAGAGTACTGAAAGTCTATTGTTTAGACAATACAGGCTTCTTAAGAGGGTAGGGCAGTCTTGGAAGAGTCAGGGTGCAGCAAAGCACTAAGCCATAAAACTCCTGGCAAAGCTCTGCTCAAAGCATGCTTTCATAGGACAAATTACAAAAATCTGCTTCTCTTGAAACCTTCCTGCCTCATCTGTCAGGTCTCAAGAACAATTGCATGCTGTTTCCCTGTTCTTTGGCAGTGACTAAATATGCACAAATAAATCAGTGGGGAAAAAAATTTTTAAAATTAATTAAAAAAAAAAATCACTGTGCAACTTGGGGAACTTTCAGTTATTCATTTGCCAAAGCAGCTGTCTACGTCTTTCCCAGTACTGTGCTTGTGATAAGTACACTGAGTGGATTGCTGTACTGTAGCATCTCTTCATATTCATTCCAATTCATGCATCTGCTATCCTTATCATCTCTTCCAGCCTGGGAAATAAACATCTGTTCTATCATGCTATGTTACAGAACAGCAGCTTACCTGACCTTGGTTTGAGACCAAACGGACCATGAGTGTTACTATCTGTCCTTTCATAATCCTGTTAAAAGAGGTAAAGTCAATTTTCTTCCATTCCTTAAAAGAATTAACTTTTGTTCCCATCAAGACAGTGTTTAAATTATTCTTGCCTAGGAAAAGTGAGTCCTTCTGCTTAACTGTAACACACTCTTTTGAAGGGGACAGTAGACAATAAATGGAATGAAAGTAACCTCACTACATGCAGATAAAATTATCTTACTGAGGAAGAAAAGCAGCACCAGATTAACTAAAATGTACTCTAAACCATTTCCAACTACTGCAAACCATTCTGTGGACAGAGTTCTAAACAGGCTGTAAGCAAATGCAAATATCCTCCCAACACTTAATATCACAATATTTCTTAGGAAACATTTACTTTCAATTATGAAGATCAGGTTTTTCTCATTTCACCATCTAAAAAGGAAGACGCACTCAGTAATTTGGTATGTACATGAGATATCCTTTTTTCAATTCATTTCACTGTATTTGGGAGATGTTCTCATTCTGCTCCCTCAGGTTCCTTATTGACATGAGGTGGAAATATTAATAATTTTTGGTATGCTTTATTCAGAGCTCAGTAGCGTAGTGCAGCCACAGTGAGACTACATGGACATTGCTTAAAAAGGAGAGCAACCAGTGAATGGTGCCCAGTGAATGAAGCTGCAAGGCTGCACCACAAAGGTGACAGCCAGAATCGATGAAACTCCCTAAGAAGTATCAGTACCCTTGTGTTCCCTGTGATATATAAAATACTAAACCACAAGTTTTATTGAAAATCCTCTGGATGGCTAGTGCACAGAGGACTCCTACAAAATACTGCAAATTTGATTTTTGCTTTATTAGCTTTTTTCATTACAAAAGATAATGGAGACAAAGCAATGCACCTTTCTACACACCAGTCAAAAAGAAGAAAAATCTAGGAGAGATCAAGTAGTTGCAAAGGTAAACCAAGTTGTAATATCTGTCTCTAGTCTCTATATACTTTTGAATTTTTATTATGATGAAATATTTCTAATTGCAGTTTTAAAGGAAACTAACAGCTTTATACCTGCATGGAAAACCTGGTGACAAGTAATGCGCACAAAGAAATGTTTGTTTAATGAAAAACAAAACCACAAACTTGTACCTCAGACGACACAGGAGACTGTGGGGACACATTAGTATTATCACTGTCTTGCTAAAAAGAAATCAAAGAGATGAAATTATAAAAATGAAAATTATGGTTTAACAAGAAACATGAAATTATGAAATACACAATACGTGAGACATGCAACATTTATCAAGTATGTGATATATTGGCAGCAACTAAATTTAAAAACACATAAATCAAGGAAACACTGTTCACTTTGTGTCGAATACTACTTTTACGTTACCTCTGCTTGATAGGTGAGAATTAACTTTCCTATTACCAAAGCAAGTAAATGTCCTACTTTTCCCCAGTACACAATCTTGATGACTTTTTTTCAAATAAAGGAGTATAATACTTATTTCTGCTATGGCTTTGGAATGCAAAGTTTGTTTGTGTGGACTCTAGCCAACGTTCTCCTGTTCTGTGACTGTGGCTCATAGGTGTTCATAAAAGATGAATGAATAAAATGTTTTCTTAACTATTTCACACAATTACTATTTCTCACCTCATCATTTTCATTTCCACTTGAACTCTTTCTGGAAGACTTATACTGCAAAACACACACAATTATTACTTTAAAATAGAAGTATGATTTTAATTTGAACTAAATGGCTTGATCTCATTCAGATGTTACTTATTACTAGTGAAGCTGCTGAGGAAAAAAAAAAAAAAACAGATTACTGAATCAAACCAGCAAAAAAGAAACAAACCAGAAAAGGAACATCTAGTTCCTACGCTAGACAAGATCTTAGTTATGTAAATGAGATAAGAGCATTTTAAAACCAAATACTTTTATAACATGAACTTTGACTGCCTATAACAGTTGATCCCAGTGAAAAGATTTTAACAACTGCTACTCTGAAGCATTATTTGTTAGGAAAAATTATGCAACCTGTGAAAGTTACTTTTACAATATGTTTTGCTATGTAACTAAGTTTGCTTACACTTTGAGAGATTGACTTGACATTTTAAAAAAATTAAATTAAAAAACCCCCAAGATTTCCTTTATAACTTCAAAGCCTGATCACATCCTTTTATCTATTTAAGACCAGCACTTTTTCCATGTCTGTCTGATTTGCTGCACACTGCCTTCATCACTGTCCCACTTCCTGATTAGTGTAGGAAATTTCCTAAAAGTGTAGGAAATGAAGGAAGGATTGAAGAAATTTACAAAAGTGGTATTTAAGAAAATAAGCATATTTCATTGTCTTCAGAGCAAGTGTACAAAAAATAGAAAATACATGCAGCTAGAATTAAAAAGATCCATCACTACCAAACTCTGATAAGTGCATTGTGTGTATATGGCCAGCCTACCTATCTTTATGATATAACACAACACAGGCTAAATTAAGAGACTAACTTTGGAACTGGAAGGATGGTTATCCTTCAAATATCTGACTTGCAGGGGTACATACAGGTTTTAGAAGAATTTCTTAAAAATGAAGAGAAACCTGAATTGCAACTGTGTTCTTTAATATTAATAAACACACAAACTTACATAGCTCTGTTATAGAAAGTTGTATTTCTTAGTTATGCATGAAAGATGCTCATCTTCTTCAAAGTTGTAACTGAGCACTGTTGGACTAAAATTGAACAGCTTTACAGAGTTGAATTTTCAAGAGCCTTTGAACTACATGCTGTATGATGCTGACAACAATGGTGAAAAGCATCTCTCTTGAAAAATCATGATCTGGGACAAGCAGCCTTCGTTAGCTATCCTACTGCTGTTCATTTTCTGTGCAAATTAAACATGTCTTTTGCAGAATGATTCAGTAAAGTGTCAGTTGTTGGTTTGTGGGATTCTTCTGGTTTTTTTGGTGGTTTGGGATTTTTTTTTGTTTGTTTTGGTGGTTGTTTTGGTTTTTTAAACTATGCACAGAGTACAGGTAGTTCTGGGGTAGTGACCTGTTACATATATCCATGACTGAATATTTCTCTTCTTGGGTTTATCTCCTGTATGTTTGCGGTACAAAGCAATATATTACTTTGGCAGCTGATAAGGCAAAGCTTAATCTTCTATGCCCTGCAAGCTCCACTGCTGACTTGTGTTTATACAGGCCTTTGGCCAGTTCTGTGTTCATGTTTTTCCACCGTAATTAACCATATCAAACCTAGCATGTAGTAATTCTTTTCTATTGTTGATACACTAACAAGAATTTCAGCTTGCACATAGCTAGGATCCAAGACAACTACAAACTAATCCGGGGCGGGGGGGAAAGGCATTTAGGTTGATAAAATCATCTTAAATGGTAATATTCTTTTTACGTATTTAACACAACAAAGATTTCAGGTTCCAGTGAGACTTCAGTGCAATGCCACAAGAAAAGGAGTTCCGATTCTCACGGGCAATTTCCTGCCCTACTACTGCACAGTACAACTGAACAATAAAAATATATAATATGTATAACAAAGATGCTCTATAAATACTTCCAGATGCTGATTCAAGTAAAGTTTCCCTGTTCTAATGATGCCCATTGCCGTAATTTGGCATGTATTCTTAAGATATTAATGTTTGGCAGTACAGATAGGATTATACAAAGAGCTTTTATTTGCCAAGAAAACATGGACACAATATGAATTGTATTTTCACTGGTTTCTCAGAACAGCAGTGGTACCAATTTTTTTTCCCCCAGTTTGCCATGGAAGACAGACTTCATTCTACTTGCTTATTGCGTTGTTTTTGCAAATGAAACTATCAGTGATACAGTATTTTTTGTTCCTGGTACAGCCTGCTTAATTCACTTTTGAGACATGTCTATAGCTGTATGTAATGTGATTTCAGGTAGCTGCTTCCACCACAGAGCTCAAAACTAAAATCTGTATTAGCATTTAAAGACATCCTTTAAAGTTATGAGAAATCACTAATGCAGGTCATTTGTATTGATAGCACAGCTGTTTAATGAGTCAAATGACTGAATTTTGTTTTACTTAGAAGTTTCTCCCCTTCCCCTCAAATGCTGCAGGGCAAATTTAATTTAGGGATGAAAACCCTGGAAAGAGGATACAACTCCATAAACTATTCAGGAAAAAAAAAATTCTTGTGATTATAGAAGCTGTTTATCCGAGCTGTATTTTTCCCTAGAATTTAATTTCTTTGATGTTCCCTAGCATTTCATAAACATGTTTGATGGCAAAGATGCAAGAAACTAATTTCAGAAGTGACAAATTTAATTTTAACTCAGCCTAGCACTGGTCAGAATTCTCTTATTTCTCTACCATACCCCAAAACAAAATTTTATCTCATGCTGCTGTAACGTCATATCTGTTCTGCAATAAGCAGACACTGACATCTGGTGACCAGTGGTACACTCCACAGCAGTAAAGTAATACTGAGAAAATTTCCTCTCAAATGCAAACTAATGCAGTGAGAACCAAAATGCATAGATCATGCTTATAACCATGCTGCCCAAAAAAGTAATGTGTATTTTTCTTGCACTACAAAAAACCAAACCAACCCACACTCAAAATGGATTGGGAAGGACCAATGACTGAAAATTAGTTTCTGGCTTTACCAGAAGACAACTGTAAATTACTTTCTTTTATTTAAAGGATAAACAAAGTCTTTGGTAGATTTTTTCCTTCTGATTTTCCTGCACTCTCACATAACCCTAAACACATACATATATATTATTTAACTCAAAAGAGCCAAATAAAAAAATTACAGGTTACATACAAAATTAAAAGCATGACAAACTTTGATGTTTTCTCACCTTTACTCAGTTATTTAGTTTCTACTACTCATTAAAAAAACAAAGTGTTATCCACCCACACTCCCCCCATTACCTTGAAATACTCTTTTCTAATTTGTTTACTTCTCCTTCTTTCTTCATTCTGCCAAATCACTGGCTGTGTTTCTGGCCAGTGCTGCTCATCCATTGAATCCTTCTGGTTTTCCAGTGGCTACAGAGTTCAGAAGTATTTTTACATAAAAGGTAAATACACCTTGTGTGCATTAACACAAATTATTATGAACTACAATTATGAATTGTTTGCCTCGATCTAGCTTTATGACATGAAAGTATTATCAGTCTTAATGGTGATTCTGGTAGAAATCACTTATGTTTTACGATTTGAAAGGAAATATTTCATAGAAGAAAAAGAATCTATGAAATAATCCTTAAGAAAATAATACCCTTTCTGCATTAAGCCTAATTTCTGCAGGTGCGTTAGGAAGCCACCTAAGGCTGCGATGAATAACTTCCAAAAAAATTAGAAGTGTGGTTAGCCACTAGCAAATCTAATTTCTCAGTCTGAATACTCATTGCACAGGAAAAGGATGGCTACAACAAGATAATGTAAGTGTTTGTCTGCTGTTCCTATCTAAAAGATTATACACATCAACTAGCTGTAAAAGAAATCTCTCTTTCAAAGTATTGTATTACGCAACACATTCTGAAGAGACAGCTAAACTAGATTTAGTCTTAAAATAACAATGACTATGTATGAATATCTATTTTATGAAAACTGAAAGCAGACAATCTGAAGGGACCATTTCACAAGGCTAAAACTACATTTCCAACTATTTCTTCATATTAGAATATCAGGCCATTTAAAGCAATTGTAAATACCTGATGGATTAAAATCTAAAATAATTTAAAAAGTACTCTCTGCAGTTTCACTGCAACTTTACCATATCATGCAAGTTTCTCAGTGAGGTATGGGGAATGAAAGGCCTATATAATTCAAACCATTTAGAAATTTAAAAAACAAAAAAACATTATAGTGAGGCAATAAAATTTGCATGCAAAGAAATACTAAAACCAAGTAAGTAAAACTTATGTCTTATTAGTTTCAAGATCTTAAAGCTAGTACCATATGTTCTTAAAAAAGGCCTCCATTACATACACTTCAAATTATCTTCAAACGTAAATTCTCCAAAGGTTTTACATTTTCCACCACAATTACATACCTACAATAACTATGTGTGTAAGCAACCATATGAATGTATAAAAGTTTTCTGCCAGAAATGCAAAAACAACCAAACAAATTATTCAAATATGAAGCCACCACATTTACATTTGACTATTTACCTGCCAGCTGAATGGGGACACTGGGGAATTCACTTCATCTGTTGAGACACTAGAAATTAAGATGAGAGGCAGTATGAAATTTACTACTTTGTGTACTTTAAAACATCAAAAAGTGAACACTTAAAAAGCAGCTTCTCTGTATTTTTGGCTACCTGTATAAGGATGTCACAGTGTGGCTAATGTATTATCATTTGACTAAAATCTCAAATCACATTTCACTCTCCTTTACCATATGCTGACAATAGGTCTTCCACACTACAGTACTTTATTCAGATAAAGCTTTTTCTTAAGCATGTTGATCTTTAGATATTACTAATGCATCTTCATTGTTTTGTTTCTCAAAGCAACCAATGAAACATTTTGTTCAAAGCTGACAAAAGATCTACTCTTAAACTTTTGGAAGACTCACATGCTTCACTGTTAGCTCTATACAGTAAAATAGAAGATTATACTCATAGGGAAGGGAAAAACATTTTAAGATGGGATAGTGAAACTGCAAAATCTCAAAAAATACACTCTGGAACATGGACTGCCTGAGTTTATTGAAAGTTCTCAGGAAGATAAAAATGTTTAGATTCAGTGGCACTCCAAAGTTTTCTTTCTAAATGTTTCTGTGAAATTCAATTCTATCACCTTACCAGCAACCATTTTATTCATGTTCTGACAGCTGGCTTAGAAGCTGTGCAGTATACCAAAAAGCTAGCAGCTGGGGATTGAATGCAAGAAGGACATAACACCATGACCAATTATAATAAATCCTAAAGGGAAAGCAACTAGGCACTTAGCTTCTGCTACTTTGTATTCCTTTTCCTTCATTTTTTTTGCTGTTTGCCTCAAACCAATAATACTTTTTAAAGCTGTTAGGCATAGGAAATTTGGCTGAATCATGTCCAATAGCTTGATAAGCAATCCAGTCGAGAATTGCAGGAACTGCTGCAATAAATAACCAAGTTTTGCTGTTGATACATATACATCTATTGACATGTTCTATAAGTGTAAATTCTTTAGGGATATGACAGTCTTTCTACTCTCTTTGTATGTTCCTTATGCAGTGTGTGATTTGGGCTCATATATCAGTGCAATAAAACAACAAATAGCCTGCAACATCTACCTTATCTTGCGTGCACACTCCAAAATTAAGGGGGGTGAGGGTTGGGGGTTTTTGGGCGTGGTTTTTTATTTGGTTTTTGTTTTGTTTTGAAGTCTCAGAACTGTTTCTGTTGTATTAACAAAACAGGGAAAGGTAAATTTAACCTTTCCTGAATCACCCTATAATATGAAGGCCTAACATAGCTGTACACTACAATAGGTGACAGCATCCCAAAGAACAGATACTGTATGTTAAGTAACCAAGGACTGGAAAGTTCCAAATGCAAATTAATAGCTGCAGCATGGTTCATATAACCACGGGACATACATGCAACCAGCTCTTCAAAATCGCAGATAGCAATGAGAGAGAAGACAGCCAAAATAGGATGTATCACATTGAAATATCTACAGTGTGTCCCTTTTCTGTTCAAGTAAATGCTTTCCTGATGTGTACCTGAACTGTAGAGAGCTGTTACCACCCCTAGTGCTCTCTAGCAACACCACCAGCAGTTACGGCTTTTGTCTCTAACATTCACACTCAAACTGGGGTCTGGACACAAGCAGATACAGATACTTTTGAAAGTATAGATTTTAAAAGACTATGGGGCTGGCAAAAAAAAAAAGAATCACAAAAGCCACTGTTCAAATGGAGTTCTCATTGCAAAGCTGCCAGTAAGCTCTCCCTCTTTTGCTTAAAAATTAAAATAGATTACTTCTTGACCAAACTGATTAAAAGAACTGATCTAGGATTCCTTAAGGGAGCAAGGGCTGAAAACTTGCAAAGTTCTCTCTCACCCGTAGAGTCAGAAATAGGAAGTTGTGATTTCCCAATTTCCTAAAGACAAGGCTCTGGGTATTTTTGTTTGCTGTTGTTTTGTGGTGGTATTTTTTAATCCGAAAAAGAGCATAAGAGTACATCTCCTGCAGACAACGGTTTCCTCATTGACACATCCTCCACAAACTACGTAAAGGTTCTGCAGGCTGAACTCCCAGCAACACTTTTCCAACAGCTCTTAAGAGCACAAAAGGACTGCCAGGGAGGAAAATTTAGATGCCTAAGCACAGCTAACAGTGCTATTTTATGTAACAGGATCTAATGCATTTGCGCAGGACTGTTACCTATGGGAGACATGACCTTCTGGACTGGAACTGGATGCCTAAAACATCACTGAATACCTGTCTTTAGGCACCTGCATTGCTGCCATGATCAGACCCACAAATTAGTTTCTGGATGACATCAACTTTCCTAGAGGCTCAAAAGAACAGATTATTTTTTTTTAACTGAAAAAGAATCTCAAGAACAGATTATTTGTGTAGCTTCTACTTCATCTTGAGCTAAAAACATTATGACAGAAGATGGCAGTAGTGACACAGAATAAACTTAAAAATTAAATTAATAAAATATTGAAAGCTATGATACATTTAAGTATATCAATACCATTTTTCAGATTCCATTGGCTGCTTTGGCCTGTTCCTTGTGCTTACTGAAACTGAATGATTAAGAAGCCTAGAAAGAAAAAAAATACATATTTATTCAACAGCTATACAGTTCAACCTTTTTCTTATATGTCATTTTCACTGCATAACATTTCCTGTAAATAGTTTTGAACATTAAGGTGACATTTTCCAAAAAATTAGAAAAATGTATGCATGCACACACATGAAATACAAGCCCAATCCTGCTTCCACTTAAATCAACAATATTGTTTCCAGCTCTTGAAATATTTCAAGTTCTGAATTTTAAGGAAGTTAAACTTGATGATCATTCAAACCAAAATGAAGACTCCCTTTATTTTTCTCCCTAAATACATACTATTTCAACTGATGTCACACCTGTGTAAAGTTATGCTGCCCTCAACACAAAAGGCCCCACTGTTCACTAAAATTAGAAGACAGAAGACAGTCAACCTAACGCAGACAAGAAATGATACACAGATTAAGCACAACAAGTCAGTCAGTAGAAGCAAGTAAGAAGGTAGCTGAGTAAGAAACACTGCAAGTGCAAAGGAAATGTAGGGAAAAAAGGAGAGGTGGAAAATAGAGAAACAGGCTAAGAACTAAATGAAAAGTCTAATGCTGAAATGAACCAATGGAAATTCCATTTTTCTAGACAGTAAATAGTCAAAAAAGCCTAAACTTACATAGAGATTCAGAAATGTTTTTTCATCTGGAACAAAAACATACTAGACATGTGCACACACAGGAAGAAGATATGAGCTATTATGGATGTTTAAATTGTTAAAAATAACAAAACAATCAGTAGCACTTAAAATTATTCATTTTCCAGTAAGTGTTATGTTGAACAGTAACTAGAATGAGTAATTTTGAATTCCTGGAAGTAGTAATATTACACTTTGACACTGACTTCATGTGCAGAACTGTGATCAAAGTATATTTACACTGAATTATATAGAGAACTATAGTGTATTAAGAATCAGAAAGAACTAGAACACCAACTATTCAATGGAAGAAAGTTAAAACAGTAGGCACCTTTTTATATTTCATTGTCACTACATAGGGCAGTACAACTATTAACTTCAAGTGATTGGTGATTTTTCAGTCAGACTTCTCTGATTATTGTGATAACTTTGAGCTCAGTAATCTCATTTGTAGCTTAAATCTCTCACTGTGTGAACCTCAGTTTAATGGGATTATGAGAAGTTAAGCCTGTAAACCAACACAGTCTGCAGCAACTGCTCTCCCTATATTTTGCCTTCAGAAACTTAATTTTGAGGGCACGTTCCAGAATTAAATTATGCTACAGCCTGAAAAAAGTGTTACAAAAAATTAATATTCAGAGCATAGGTTATCAAACCATAACATAAACGTGCTATTTTAAAGTCATTAACTTTTAGAGAGAATACCCATTTAAATTAGCCTTATGTCTTCAACTGAAAGCAATTAGAAATTCAGAGAGACTTTGTAGCAAGATATCACCACTTAAACAGAATGAGCTTTAAAAAAAAAATAATAGAAATTTGAGTGACCTAAACAGTTTGATGTCACATTTGCATCAAAACTGACACTATCAGTGTAAATTCAATAATTGTATGTAACACAGGCCATTTCTTTCTTAAACTCACGATAGGAAATGAAAGGAAAAACTATTCAAGCTAATTCAAACACATATACACATGAACTTTTCAGCTACACTGTTTCTATGAAAGTATATAATTAACATTTGAGTTTATTATAAACTAAGTTTATTATAAACAAAGTATATTTTTACACTTTGCAAAACAAAACCAAACGCAATAATTTTTGAAACTTCCTCTTTAAAAACTGAAGAATATTGATGGGGAAGTAACAGCAAGTTCAGCATCTGTCAGGTTAACGGTTACTAGTCCAGTCAGAGAAATCTCATTTTCCTGTGGAATAAGGAACTTGAAAGTTTTTAGTTAAAGAAAATGGTGAATAAAATTAATCTGGATTTACTAAATTGCAGAATAAGGAATTCATGGCAAAATAATTTGTTCAGCTGGAAGTGGGGGGGGGGGAGGCAGGAATCGGTCACGGTAGTTAAGAACTGTCTTCCAGGAAATACAATGCAAAACTCAATATGCAAAATGAAAGTACAAGCAGCTTATATTCATAAGTCATGCTCTTAAGTGTGGTGTTAATGGTGCAAAGATTCCAGCAACTGCTTCCATTCATACTACAACTCATTAAATCCAAACCTGTTTTTTTTATTAGGCAGATCAATTATCAGGCCTATTACTGATGGTCATACTGAATCACTAAGTAAGAACTTGCATAAGACACTTGTATTAGTACTGCAGTTAATTTCCCACTTATGGTTCCTACTAACCACACAAATTCTGTTACAGAGGTAGCATACAAACTATTAGTCTGAAAGGGCTCTAAAACTCATATAAACTTTGAAATGTAAATTACTCAACAGCACATACACAATGACACTTTTATATATATATTAAACTCAAAAAACAACATTGCGGCTCATTTTTCTAGTTTTATATCATGCAAGCATAACACCTACTCCAAACTGCTGACTAGATAGGAGAGAAAGGTGATGGCAAGACCAATTACAATACTGGAAAATATTTTCTTAAGTTTGAGAATTTAAAAAGTGGAATCTCTTCTCAGTTACTTATACTTTCATATTTTGAGCAAGCGTGACATCATGATTAAGGGACACAAAATAAGTGAATGATGGTAATGTTATTTTAAGGTTAGCTATCTTGCAGCTTAAACAAGCAAGCACTACCGGATCTTTAAAGTGTATAAAGACACTAGAAATATTTTACAGTGAGAAAAAAATGATGTATTTTAAACTCATTCAGGAGCAGTCTACTGTCTTCGCATATGACTCTGCTTTGTGATCATAAGCTGTACTCTCAGGGATTTAGTTTTAGGAAGTCACTGATGTCAAGTAAGAACGCATACTTTGATGCAAACTGAAACAGGTTCATTTAGAACTAATGCAGATTATTTAATCAAAGCTATCCCACTTTCTTTTGAAAAAGACTAGGAGTATCCAAAGTTAGAGTTTCAATTGATAAAGGTAACAAAGTCTGAAATCACTTGATTCATCACCCATATGTTTGAGCATGGTCTACACAGCCCATTCCAGATTCCTTGTTACTTGTGAGGTTTGTATATCTGCAAATGCTTCCTCATGGCTGTCAAATGCAGAACAAATTGTCACTGGTCATGCTAATTTGGAAATGATCACTTTAAAACCAAGATACCTTAAATAAAAAACCCAATCTTTTTCCTGAGGTTCTATACTTGAGGTATTATATATTAAAAAGCAAAAAAACTGAAAAGAAAGCATGCCAAAGGTACAGGAAATTATGCTTCTAGGTTTGGATTCATTTAAATGTTCTTTGGAGAGTTGCCTAACTAAATATTTTTCTTAAATGGTATTCGATCTTAAAGAACAAAAACTGCATTGCAATCTATTTTCGATAACAATATCTTAGGCTAACTTAGCCAATCCCTTTATTCTGTTTTTGTTCAAGAAATGGCCAAAACTGTTTCTTTTGTCCACATTTCAACTTTGGAAGTCTGAAGCTCTACAAACACTTTATACCTTGATGCACGTCCTGCCGCCCTTGTCCTCTGGAAGAGTTTTTCACTGAATGAAGTTCTATAGCTTAATGGCCTTCGTCTGTATTCATATTTCATGTACACCAAAGCCAAAGACGGAAGAAGGAAGCAGGATAGTTTGATGGGAGAGGACAGGGAAGTCATTAGCATAGCAAGCAAAAAGAAAAGAGACTGCATAATATTAAAAAAAACCACACTGAACAAACAGAAATATGATTAATAAGAAGCTATTTCACGATGCCCACTTTTCTGGGGATTCTTTTTACTCAGATTGAACATATTTTCCACAAAAACACAGAAATATCTTCACTAAACTTCTAAATATTAATCTTATTGCAGTCTATGGCAAGAAATTACAAATTCACAAAACTATAGCTTCAAAATCAGGGCTAAATTTTATGCCAGAGGTAATTTTGCCCTCATGTACTTAAAGATACATAAGCAAGCTTTAAAACATAAATGCTAAACTAAGAAGTAAAACTTAACAACTAATAAGATTGTGTATACCTAACAGTTCCAGAGCAAAGCAGAACCATTAGCAAGATCACTGCATTAAGATACAACGACATATGACAAATAAAATCTAAGTTGCAGTACTTCAGAAGAGGAGTGGCTTGGTATTTCAAATGATTAGATAACCAGGAAATATTAAAACTAATCAAACAATTCCCATGTACAACATAAATAACCATCATATAAAAACCTAATATAAGAAAAAACACTTATTCTCTTTTTATTAATAAATTAATATGAGAAAATTTAGCATTCTTATCTTTTTTTGCAATATTTTTGGTAATAAGAATGTATTAGCATTAAGATTTCATTCTTATTTTTCCCTTCCCAACATGAACAACCAATTCTTAATCCTTCCCCCCCCACACACTACTGCTATTGTATTTAATTAATATAAAATGCTGGTAAATTTTTAAAGCTCTGCAATTCATAGTATCAGGATATCAATTTCTAAGGGCTTCACATGTATTTCAACTAACTTAAAAGAAAAACAGCAATGCAGAATCTTGTTGCTACACAGAAATTCAAAAGAAATAAGAATAGTATTAAGCTGGTATGAAGTTCAATCCATTACTGTGGGATAAGGAACGACTGTAATGAACTATTTAATGAACTACTATTAACTACAACTTTTACATTTCAGGAAAGGGCTTACGCTCACTGAAGTACCTCACTGGTGATTTGCCTGCTTGGTAAAGGAACCAGAAAACACAGATCCTACCCTAGCCTGCCTACATCCTATGCAACTCCAGGTATTCCTTCCTGCTCTTCGTTTTACACTGTTCTTAACTTGTTCTATTACATTCCTTTTATCTCCTGCTGATCTACAGCTCCTTTTCAAGAATCATTCTGTTGTGATGCCCAACTTAAAGCGGAAAAAGTCAGGCAGTTCATCAGGATGAACTTACACTATTCAAATTATTTATTTTTATATATATTTATAATATATCTATGCTCTGCCATTTGACAGAATAATGTTTGAAAAAGTTTCCCTTTCAGTCCATAGGAAATTTATATCTCGCATTAGACTGACTGCAGGAAGTACCACCTAAATTACCTTGTATTTGAGTAAAAATAACCAGTTATGAACAAACTGTATGCAGGTTCTGTAACTCATACATATTAAGACAAAGTCATTTTAACATATTACCAATAATCTACTTATACGAGCATTAACCATGCCTACTTAAGTATACTGCTTTGAAAATAAAAAGTACTAAAAAATTAATATAAATCAAACCAGGAAATCAAGAGACTTTCACATTCATCTCTTCCTCTCCAGAGGAGGTATATCACTGCTCTCTAGACAGCAATTTTATGAAAAGAAACACAGGACAGGTATCTTGAAAGAGTATGTCATTTTAACTGTTTAACAGCTGGACAACACTGTTCTCAGAATTATAAGGTGCCAAGGGCTTTTGGGTATAAGGCAGGCCAAAGAATAAATTAATTGTAACAGAAGTTAACTAATATTGTAATACCTGTGTTTTTGTTCTTGCTGCAGTAACTGAGCTGCTATTTTTCTCAAGTCAGTCACTTCTTTGAGTTCATCATCATCTTCAGCCAACAGCTGTTCTTTCTGAAGTCTGAAAAATTAAACATTAGTAACTTGGCTGATTTCAGTAAAGCAAGACACAGACATGGCTACATTATTGGACAAGAACTAAGAAGTGCTTCTTATAAGCTTATTTTCTGTCCAACAAGGAGTACTCTATGTGTTCAATATGAGATTTCTTTCCTCCATATGCAAGGAGCTTAAAACAAAACCACCCTCACCCACGTAAAACCTTCCCCCCAAAAGATGAAGATTTACCTTTTTTCATCTCCCCAGTCCTCATTCTGTTCTATTTTCTGGGATTTCTCAGGATGTTTTCCCCGTTCCTTACACAGGATAAAAAAATAAACTTAAGACTTGAATGGAAGAAAAAGCAAGCCTGCTGAACCTTTTTTCTTTTGTCAAGCTAGGCTACCTTGATATAAGACAGTAATGGTCCAATCTGTACATCTCCTTGCTCAGGAACAGCTCCCTCTTCTGCATTCGGATCAATGTAATCATACACCTCCTGGTCTAGTGAGGATTGATGAAGAATGGGAAAGATGATATTAAAACGGTTCTCTCAACCAAATGTTATTCCTGAGAGAGATAAGTACTTATGAAAAATATCAGATAAAGATAAAACAATGAAATCATGTCTCCTTGAGCTAGGAATACCCTTTTTTCTTTCTTCCTGGCCTCGTCTATTTGCAATCACTACATTGTTTTCTGAAATGATGAAAATACAATGCCAACATGTGATTGCATCATTTTGTGCAATTTTTCTTACATTAGATTACCTAAGCAAAAAGTATTTCTGTTACCTGACAGATGGACAACAGATATTACCTTTCTGCGGATCGAGTTTATTTCCCATTACATGATTGTCATTCCTTAATGTCTGTTCCCTTGTTGATTCTGACACCTGGGAGTGAAGGCTGATTGTATCATCATCAGATGGCTGCAAAGACAGTCACATTTAATACAGAACTTACATATAAATTACATTATTATATTATTTGCTAAGAACTCTCAAATTATAGTGCAACTGACCCTATCCCCTATCATGAGGGATGGCTCCCAGGAGAGAGAAAATAACATCAAGTCGGGGCGGGGGGGGGGGGGGGATTTAAGAGAATCATAGTTTAGGGAGTGACAGACAACTGTTCAGTATAATATAACACTGAGATACAGTATTTTGTTCAAAGAGGTCCAGTCCAGCCCTGGTCAGTGGACTAAGAAAACTGTACTTGGGTACTTTCTTATCTAATGCCTCCAACTACTTTGACCCTTGTTAGACCACTAAGAGGGGGAAAAAAAAACCCCACACCACACCCCCACAGCTTTACTTCTAATCATTTGGAATTTTCTTAAAAACCCAACTAGTAATACTGCTTGTTCTACAGTTTTCCCACTAACAATCACTCTGCATTTGTAGTAACTCCCTTTCTAAGTTTCAAAAATCTTTTGTTCTACACTATTCAATTTTTACATTACTGTTATTAGTTACAGCTCCTTAATCTAGATTTCTAAAAATACACAGATAACTTGTAGGGATTTTTGTTCATTGCTTTAAACCTAGCAGATCATTCAGAAGTTCATTAAAATTTAAACAACAGTGAAGATTACCAACATATACAATCCTCAACTTTAGTCCAAATAAACTTCCATTTCCTTAAGTACATTCATTTCATTAATAAGAAAATAAAGTTTCAAATAAATTTTGTCCTTTGTGTAGAAAATGATTATGCACTTCACACATTAAAAGTTCCAAACAATTCCTTAGGTCAGAATTCAGTTTTTAAATGCATGAAATTTGGACTGGAATGAACCTTAACCAGAAAAGTCAAAGCAATATGTAAATAATTTGTGTTTGATACTGGCAGTCTATTGGTTTAAACTCAACTGTATAGATATTCAAAGAATGTTAAATGCAACTTAGTATTTGTATTTCTCAAATGATAAAAAATACAAAGGAAAAAATATCTAAAAAACAGAAGTTACACAAATTCAACAGTGAAAAATACTCACTTCTGTTGTGGACAACCTTTTATCCCCATTATCACTTCCGATGCCAGAGTCTGGTCCATGATTTTTATTGGGATAAAAGTCCTCCATGCTACATTAAGAAAAACAACACAAAAAAACCCACACAGGAATGAAAGAAACAGGAGTTTCACTTTTCTAAAAAAATAAACATCCTTTTAAAAATATGTTCTCTATACTTATCTACAGTTGCTGATACAGAATTTTTGCACAATGCCCCATGTGCAGAGAACAAATTCTTAATCTCTTACAAGAGTTGTTCAAGAAAAAAGTATCAAAGCAAAGTTAAAGTGGAAATGATCAATTACTGTACTCTCTTGTACCTATACAATTTTTGAGTTGTTCTACTTCATTCAAAAATACCGTCTTCAGAAAACGCTTCCTCTGAAAAACCACAATTCCTTGAATTCTATCGGCAGACATGTTTTTCTACCAGTAGCAAATACACGTTCCCTAATAGACTGTCATATTATAATGGTTTAACACTGCCTGAATATCTATGAAATATTTTCTCCAAATTTATGCCTTTTGAAGACATAAAATTGGCAGCATCAGCAGGACGTGTTTTCCAACTGCGCACTGGAGCTTGGTTTAAATAATAAGATTATCTGGAAAGTTTAATTAATCAGGTACAGTGGTAATACCGATGACCTTGTTCCTTTGCAATACATTTTAGTTGTAGGCCTTAAGTTCAGTGGAAGCTTTTGGGGAACAGTTGCTGCCCACATTTTTTGGGAGAATTTACAAGTGATCTACAGACACTGTGGACTAATTCCCTATGGCACAGTCGCCTGAGACCAAGACCATGGACTGAATTTGATGATTCAGATGGTTCTGTGTAAGCTTTATTCATAACTTTCATCTTTCCTTCAGCCTTGAACACAGAGGCACAAGTTGCATGCGACCTTTTAAGAAAATAGGCAAAGAGAGATTATTGTTCCATATGGTTTCCAATGGCAAGCCAATTGATGACAGAAAATACAAAAGCATTCCCATTTAATTACTCAAGAGGTACTCTGTACAGAAGTCCAATAAAATATTCTGCACTTTTTAACCTCAACTAAAAAAAATCACTGGTATTTCACTGATCTTTAAGTTAGTTTCCCTTAAGATATATGTGGGAGGCAGACTTTCCATCCAACAGACTAACTCCATATTCAGGACATTTATGGAAAAATCTCATCTACTGTTTTGACATATCTGGGAAATAAATAGCTGAGTTTTCCAATAAATAAATTAAAAATACATCTTTGTTCTGATTTCCAAATCTTTAGCAAGTACAATGAAAACTTTTCATAGAAACTTAGATGAGCCAATTAAGCTTCCAATAACACAACCTTAGAAAATAAATACTATGAATTCTAAGGAAAGAACAATTAAAGTATTGAAATTACAGCTACTATCTGTAATAAACAGATCACTTCATAGCAAATGCTAAAGTAAATAAAACAAAAACTGCACTACTCACCTGTCTGTGAGTGGCTGGGAGGGGATTCGTTTACCTAATGACGGAAGATCCAAAGAATCTGGTTTTTTATCTATTCTGAGGCACGCCTGAATGCTGAGGAATTTAAATATATGTACTTTACCCTTTAAACATATCTGTTGGGAAACAAACGAACAAAAAAAAGTCTTAATTACATAGCATATCTTTTGAAAATGCACCCCAACAAAAGCTACACTGAGTTTGTACCTAAACTTCCCGCTAGGAGAAATACAACTAAAAATACAAAAACCTGATTGGTATAACTTAGAACAGTTTCCTTTTTCTTAAGATCCTAATGCAAATTTCTGAACTAGAATGCTTTAATACTAACCTGTGCTGGTGGTATCTGCATTGGATTGTTATCCAGAACTATAACTTGTAAGTGACGTAACTTTCTGTAACAAATTGGAATTTCTGTAATTTTATTACAAGAAAAATCCAGCTTTACCAAGGGAAGGTCTCCTAATTCTGCATTGGGGGAAACAAACAAAAAACAAATAAAGAATCAGATATCTTCTTAACACTTTACCTAATTTACTTACATCAAAGAAATGAAAACTAGTAGCTTACCATCAGGCAACATATGGAGATTATTTCTTCTTATGTTTAATTCTCTAAGTGACTGCAATTTTCCTATTTGCTGGGGAAGAACCTGAAGTTCATTGCAGCTAATATCCTAAGAGACATAAAATTAATAATTTAACTGAACATCTTAAATTAAATTAAACAAAGGAAAACTGCTACCAAAACTACTGTAAACCATACTATAAAAAACAGAAATCCTATCTTTCTTGTTTTTTCCACAAAGTGAATAAGTACCATAACAAATCTCGCTGTTCCTTCCATATTTAGTGATTCATGTTTCAGAAACTCATTTCAAAAAGTTACATCAATGAATGATGAAAGACTGGTTTTGAGATTAAAACTGTACGCTAGAAATCAGGAGTTCCTGGCAAATGATTTGCATTCTGCTCCTTTTGTAAAAATTCTTCTTCCTTAGAAAACCTTGAATCAATCCACACAACTAAAAATTTACGAAGAGCAACAGCAGGCTCACAAACTTTGTGGATACAAGCACTAGAGGGTGACAAAGCCGCACCAAGTAAACACAGAGTACAGCTATTTCTGCCACTAATTTAACATTTATTTATGTAGTCCAGGCTGGGTCAACAATCACACTGACATAAGACCATTTCTAACCTTTTTTATTTCCAATTGAATAAAATTGGCTTAGACTAGTTTCCTAGACTAAGTAACAATGATAGACATCTAACTGATGAAAAATTCTAAGCTGATTTTAAACGCAAGCTGAGTCAGTAACTAGAAGCCAGGCCTTAACCAGACGAATCTCCACTACACACTTCCAGAGCTTCAGCTTAGGCACTGCTCATCTGCTTTTGGCAACCATGATGTCTGCACATAGCTAGATGTCTCAGAAAGCACAGCTGCTTAGGATCAACTGTTGTGTATCTCTTGCAAGTTATTCTCTGTCTACAACACCAAATTTAACATGGGATTCCCTTCCTAAAAGCATCTTTCTAGCATGTGGCTTAGTTGTCAGCTTTTTTTAATGTATATATATTACTTATGTTCTAAACAGGTATAACACAGGTACTGGAATGAAACTGTCTAGTAAGTCCTTAATCTGTGTCATCAAGCACGCATTCTAGGTTTGACAATTTTGAAAAATAAGTCAAAAATACTACAACTGCAATTCTGACAAAATGTCACTTCCTGTAAAGAATAGCAGTGATCCCACCTTGAAATCCTATGACATTGAAGTAAGCGTAAAGAATTTCTCATCACCAAAGAGTAGAGGACACTAGAAAAGCTTCACAAACATTCAGAGTATTACTCGTAAATTAAAAAAGAATGTGGATTTATAGCTCAGAAATTAGATCATGTTAAAAGAAATCTCCAGGGCATACACAGCCGCTCTGGAACCAGGATAAGGATTGCTTGCAATGACCAAAGAAATCCCACATGCTGGGGAAAAAAAAAAAAAAAAAAAATATCAGACCTAGTCCAAGTGCCAGGTCAGTGAATACTTGTGCATAGTTTTCGATCAGAAAAGCCCAGAATATTAAGAAATATAGAGAAAGTAATGTACAACAAAGAACAAAACTCTAGTATGCCATAGGATAAAATCACATTGCACAGACACCTAAACTGTGAATATCACACACCATTCTATTCACTCCAAACAAAATAAAGGAGTAGCAGAAATGGGGGGGGGGGGGGACGGACGGACACTACCCTAAAACCAACACCAAACACAGAACAAGACAACAATGATTGAATGGCATAACTTGTATTAAGAGTACAGTGAACTCTTCAGATGGGAAGAAGATTCCTGATAACGTATAAGAAAAATAAATAGAATTATGATTCCTGTAAAGAATGTAAACAGAAAAATTCACCGTTTTCAACAACATACAAGCGAGGGACTCAAAATAATATGAAGAGCGATTTTATTTATGAACCCCTTAAGCTTTAGTTAACCCAACATACTGATTTGTGTTTAATCCCATTTTTGAAACTCTACAATACTACACCTGTAATTTGAGCTCAAACACTAAGAAAAAGCAGTAACTGAATTTACATTTTGCTGTTCCATATTTAAAAAATTACTAATTTATATTTTTATTATACTGTAAATTGTTTATAGTTTAAATTTACTTAGTACAATGGTTCACTATTGTACTTACCAGCTCCATTAGATCTCTCAACTTTCCAATTTCTTCTGGAATGGAGACCAGCTTATTATTACTAACAACCAGAACTTTAAGTGGAAGATCAAACAGGTACTTTGGCAACGTTGATAAAAGATTTCGACTTGAAAGAAAGAAAAATGAACAAGCAAGACTAGATTATAATCTTCTTTTTAAGCCTGACAGGGAGTCTGAGATGCACATTGAACAACTTTTCTCCTATTCCAGAAGACATTCTCCACCTATTACAATTCGTCTAAATTTAAGCTACAATCTCCATCATTAATTCCTTACCAAGTCAAGCCCATCTCGCTTGATGAAATGAGTATGTACTGTAACTGAATCTAACACTAAAACGTACAGAGAAATCTGTTGAAAGAAATAGTTTGATGTTTGCTTTTATCCTATTTTCTAATACCTTCAGAAGGACCACCTGATTTGACAGCCTACCAATATAAAGTTCTTAGCAAACCAGAACTTTATACAAGGCCATTGCTTCTCATGTCATGTGGTCATGTCACTCCTGAGCCAGCACAAAAAGCCTTTAAAATCTATTTATTACTTTGCTGATTAACAGTCTGGAAGGTAAGTTTTAATTAAAATTTATTTCTTTTGTGTATATCATTTTCCAACTACATGCACGTATGTCTGCTTTGTACACAAGAAATATACTGTTACTAACATTTTGATTTAAATCCATATTGGAAAAACTACCAACTGCAGACTGCCACTGCCAGAAATACATTGAATTTTTCTAATACAGTACTTGTACATTTAAACAAGCCATTAGAAAACCAGCTTGTTCAGATGTCCATTCACAGATAAAAATTTCAGTAATTGCTGTTGCTTTAAGTAAAACTGTGCAGAGTTCACTTCTATTTTGGAAAAAAAAAAACCCTACCCAAAAAAGTGTTTACATTTTTAAGTGTTGACATTTGTGTTCACACTATATTAAGAAAAACCCAGAAGTTTCACTGTTTAATTGATATATATCAGAGCACTGTTTTCATATTTAAAAAAAAACCAAATTTTTACATTTTTTTTCTCCATGACTACAGTTTATAGGGCTGCAAAACCAATGTCATGGTTTAACCCCAGCCAGCAACTAAGCACCACACAGCTGCCCACTCACTTCCCTCCCCTCCCCACCAATGGGATGGGGGAGAGAATCAGGGAAAAGAAAGTAAAACTTGCGGGTTGAGATAAAGACAATTTAATAGGACAGAAAGGAATTAAAAAAAGGCAATAATAAAAGAATTGGAATATACAAAACAAGTGATGCACAATGCAACTGTTCACCACTCGCTGACCAATGCCCAGTTAGTTCCCCAGCAGCGATCCCTGCCAGCCCCGCTCCCCCCAGTTTATATACTGGGCATGATGTCACATGGTATAGAATATTCCTTTGGCCAGTTTAGGTCAGCTGTCCTGGCTGTGCCCCCTCCCAATTTCTTGTGCCACTCCAGCTTTCTTGCTAGCTGGGCATGAGAAGCTGAAAAATCCTTGACTGAGTATAAACACCATTTAGCAACAACTGAAAACATCAGTGTGTTATCAACATTCTTCTCATACTAAATCCAAAATGTAACACTGAACTAGCTACTAGAAAGAAAATTAACTCTATCCCAGCTGAAACAAGGACAACCAACAAAAATAAATTTATGTTCTTGCAACATTTCAGCTTCAAAGAAGCAATTTTAACACCATAAAATGAAAGTAAACTTCTATTAGTATCTTTATAAAACTAATGTATTTTTTCTGTTAATTCTAAGTGAACAATACAAGTTAAGTTCTGGATGTAGGTATGCAGTAAGTCTCTTTTTTTAAGTTGTATTTCAGGCAGAATGACAGGCTTTTTTGGTTGGAGAGCATGAGAAGCAAAAATATAATGTGCAAGCAAGCTTCTTTTAATTTATTATAAAAATGTAGCAATGAAACAGTCATTCTCTGCATCACAATGTCCTCCAGCTTTTTGTGGTTTTTTTTGCTTAAAGAAGAGCTGCCTACTTTACTATGAATTGCATGACACATTTCTTCAGTCGTCTGAATGCAAAATTAGACTTTGAGATCATGTGGTTTTCTTCTGTAACAAAATATTGAAACTAGTAAGCCAGGATTTTAGCCTGTTCAACTCCTACAGTCCACATGTTCATGCATTGCAAAAATAGTCCTCAGAGATCAGCACAAAAGTGAAGACAAAGCACAGTAAGGCAAATGATGATTAGAAGAGTCGACTCAAAATGACATGCAACGCCCAGTTAGAACTACACGCTACTTTATTTCTGTGTAAAGAATTGTATTCAGTACCTCAACTACCATCAGAAGAGAAATGGGCTGTTGCTGCTCTGTGAAGAAAGTTAGGTCAAATTTTTCAGAAAACACTGCAGTTTTATCATATCATTAATGCTCTTTAGAATTGCCACAGAACAGACTACTGAAATTATCACTATAAGCATTGATATTTGCAGATTGAGACAAGGTTTTTGGTTGGGATTTTTTGTTGTTTGTTTTTATTTCTTACTTTTTTCTTTTCCAAGGATCAATTCGTGAAGTTTTTTCAAAATATATTCTGGAACCAAATCTCACATGTTAAATAGCTCTTAGCTGAAAAGACTGTTTTGGACTTGATGTAGTCAATATAAGAAACAAGGAATACTGTGGAAAACAGGGTCTCAGTTCTTTTTGGGAGGGTTCTTCTAGATTCCCTCTCTTTCCAGAGCTCATATTCATCTTCCATTCTTCTGAGAAGATCCAACCACATGTTTTCCAAGTTTAAGAACATCAATACAGTAATGGATGTAAATAATGGGCAAAATGAGCAGGGCCTTCTGGCCAGAGTAGTCTACCCTGTTGCGAGCAGCAAATTTTTACACATGTAGTTTCTAAACATTGTCTGTCTATATAACATTAAAAACAAAGGAAACTTTGTAAACTCCTCAGCTACTACAGTTTACTGACTGAAATTTCATAATGCATTCAATTCCTTCCCACAAAGGAAGCAACAACTGCTGGCCCTAAAACACCAAGGATAAGAAAAACAAACAACAGAATAATTTTATCTATCTGGGCAAAAATGAGGGCACACAGAGGCACTTAATGACCTCATGAAGCAGAATGCCACCTCTTCAATGAGGTAAGTTATATAAAGACCAAAAATAACAAGCATTACTCACCTAATGTTAAGGTAGGTAAGCATTTGCAGGTTTTTAATAGATTCTGGAATGGATTTGATGCAGTTGTGATACAAATTTAAAGTTTCCAGTGGTGCAAACAGCCAGACATCAGGAGGAATTTCAGTAAATCTGTTCTTTGAAAGATCTAGAAGCAAAAGAAAAAAAAATAATCATTTTTTAGTCAAAAATTTCCTTGCAGTAAGAGGAGATAAAAGTACCCGCTGTTATTCTTGTCATGCTCCTAAAAATTAAGGTGTTGCAAGAAGTGTAAAATAATTCAGTTTTAACAGATGCTACTGCATATAATTAATACAAAAAAGACTTAAAATACTACAAGATTGTTTGATATGCAATTATAACATAAAATAGAAAAATGACATGAATTCAGAAGTATATTACCCACTACATAATTAAGAACATTTAAAATGCAACTGAATATCAATTATGATTGCCCCTCCTCTATCAGTCTTTGTTCTGTGCAGCTGTTCATTTATTTTCCTTCAATTCTAGGCACAACAGTAAGTCAAGGTACAAACCCAGTAAACATTACTTTTCCTGTTTGACAGCTACATTAGAATCTATTCTTATTGTATAAAGTATCTGCAATGCTAAGGTGAACTTTGCAAAAAAACCTTACATATTTATTTTGCTTAAGAACTACAATTCTCATCTAAAAAGTATTCTTTATTGCAAGCACAGTAACTGAGACATTCTCCAGTAACACACTTATAACTTAGCTAAAAAGAGCACAAAACCCAATGCCAAATGCATTTAGCTATAAAAATAAGGATGCAATTTAGCCTAGCCTAAGAACAGAATGAGGAGATATATTTGACAATGGAAACATAATACTTGAACTAGAGTTATTTTGACAATGCATGACTGCATTATGCAAATCTGCATGCAGAAGATATGAAAAACCAGGGCACTACAAAAACGCACACCATCTCTGACTATATGAAATCTTTAAAAAGACCAAGTAAATTCAGGTGGGATGTGACCCAAGAATCCTGGAAATTATCAGTTAACTACCAAAACCTGTGTCATAAAGTCCATGAAACTATCTTGGAAGAAAGAGGTATTTACTTGAGAACAACTCTACTTTTATGAAAGTAACTCTGGTTCCCAACCCAAGATATTTCAAAAGGATGTGGTTTCTCAGAAACGCTGAACAAACTCTTTTAACAAAGCAGCAATACAGATCCCTTGCTATTTCAGGCTTTAGTTCTCAGTTTTTAACACTTGCACGAAATAACTGTGTTTCTGCTTAGCTCCTATCACATTATCATTGGAACAAACATAGTTTGTTCTATGCTAGACTGAAAAAACAGACTAGAAAGTGGCTGGAAAAGTAACTCAAAGTCACCTTCAGGCTTGAAGAAGAGAGCTTAACAGCTTGAAGTATAACTGGCAAGCCAGCTAGGAGCGGCATTTCTCAGGGCCAATGCTGGAATCAATATTGTTTAGTATCTTCATCATCATCCTGGAAAACAGGATATAATCTGCCCTCAGGAAGTGCACAGACAACACCAAGTTGGAGGGAGTGAAGAGGTAACTCACATGCTGGAGAGATAGGATGCCAGCCAGAGTGACCTCGACCAGCAGACACCCCATCCAGTTTAATAAAGACAAATGCAAAGACTTGCACCTGTGGCAGAATAATTCCTCACAGTAGTGTGGGCTGGAGGATGAAAGGGTAGAAGATAGCTTTGCAGAGAAGAACACACATTGCTGGTACACAACAGGCTGAATGCGAGTCATCAGTGTGCCCAGTAGCAGGGAAGGCCATCAACACAGTGTGCTGCAGATGCCCATCAAATAAAATGGACTGGTACAATGAAATGTCACCTTCCAGTGGCATTATTTTTGGAAGTAGCCTCAACTTTGCTTTCTGAAGTCTAGAATATGTGAAATTTGTGAGCTAATGGGCTGTCACTCCATTGTTCCATCATTTCTAAGAAACATTGTCAAGCTAAAGCATCACAAACCCTTCCTTTAGATCAGGGCATCCACTGCTGACACCAAATTCTGCAAACTCTAGCTGCAAGAGGTAGAAAGAGAAAGATCTAGGTTGCAGAACTGACATTCTTAATGAACTGAATGAAAAATGGAATAAAGTAAACTAAAACTAAACATCCCAACTAAAATTAAAAAGCTTATTAAAAAATTTAGCATAGCTTGAGAAAGTTTTCACAATAGATGAGGTCTGCTTTCTGTTTTCCACCACATCAATTTTCAAAACATTATAGAAAAGTGGCAGATTTCACATGAAAAAATTTTATGCAAAACCCTTTTTAGGTCAAACAAAGGCTCTCTTATTCTAATATTCAGCAGAGTGGGATAACTGTGTGCAGAAAAGATGCACGCAGTTTTATTGCCCGCACAGTTCCACAACCTCCACCACATGATGAATAGACAGTTTTTGATACAATCCCATTCTGAAGAAGTCAACTGTAAGGCTCTTCCCGACTCTGTTTTATCAGCAGCTAGAAAGATAACTGAAGGCTAGCACAAAGATCTACTCTACAAAATACAAACAACAGAATCCTACCCTACTGCCACTGATCCAAAGAGCAGTACTGTAGGTTCTACCTGAACTGGAAGATTCAAGAGCACCATGAAAATTATACCACTGTATGTGCATGCAGCCATACCCCAACCACACGTCTTAGAAAGACACAGGTTAAAAAACAGCTTTGCCATTTCTTCTGCAGAAATAAAACCCAGAGGTGGGCCAGACAACAACCATAGTGTGCACCAACTCTCTGCTCTGGCCAATGACTGGACCAGGACTGTAGTACTCAACAGCCAATATAAAACCAGCAGTGGTTTCTTACCTGGCCTGACAAAAAAACCCATCACATTAGCACAGTCTGGTTGAAGTCCCTTAGTGTACCCTCATACAAAACCCATGCAGTTTCACATTACAAGAAAAAATACAAATATTGTGAAATTGGTATTTATTGCTGTTGAAAACTCTTCCCTGAAAACAATGCCTTAAGACAGTGTGGGGCAAGGACTCCACTTTTCCATTATGAAACCCAGAAGTCCTATTAGAATAGGAAATGATACCCATTATCTATCAATAATAAAATAAAAAAGGTAAATAAAGAGTTGGAAGATTGTATGGCTTCTCTTCCAAACAATTTTTCATTCATTCATTGCAAAACAGTATTAGAATAGTCCCAGGGGTTCAGAGCTTTCTAAAGAAAAAGATTCAAGTGTATATAGTTTTCCACAATATTCAATATATGAAATGTACTTGCAGCTTTTTAAAAACAAGTAATCCTATTCTTTATCCAAATTGAAAAGTGATTTCTACTCCAGAAATGTTTTCACAATGAGCAAAAAAATTTATGAGTTCAGCTATTATGCTAAATAAAATTTAGATGTGAAGTTTATGCAATTTAGGTACCTTTTGAAGACTAATAACCCAAGGTATGACTGACAAAATATTGTAAGAAAAAAGGAGGAAACTTCTGGAATAGAGTGTTCCTCTATAAACAAGATAGACTTCATCTCAATCAAAATGTAAGCACGTTGCTGGCACTTAAAATGAGAATGGTTTTGTAAGGGTTAATAAACTGAAGAAGCAAGGAAAGCTGCTAAACGCAGAACCACACATGATTTAAGATGACAGCTCCTCTAGAAGTGAGATTATAGGAATTCTTTGCTTAACCAGTTTAGACTGGAGAACTCTAAATTGGGGGTGTTATATGAAGACTAAATAGAAGACAGTATCCATGACTGCTCATGAATCACAGGGTATTTCAATTCACTATCTGCAGAAACAATAAAAGTGAGAAGTACACCATTACTAAGAATTTTAAAAGGGAACTACAAAAATATGAAGTTGGTTGCAGCTTAGTTTCTTTTTAACAGAAAAAGTCTTTACTGACTGTAAGACAATGATTAAAAGACAATATATTGAAAGTTCAAAAGGAAATAATTTTAGGAAATCAGTCAGTTTGGAGGGGAAGCTATCAGAAGTAAGAAAGTGTCTTGTATAAATTTACACTATGATCAAAAGGAAAAACAAAAAGCTCAAACTGTCACGTTACAGCACTCTGCAGTAAGGTAGTCAAATAGTATTAACATCATGTTTGTCTTGTTTTTTGCACTTTTCCTTAAACATTCATTACTGCTTACTATCAGAGGCATGCTTCTAGAACAAACCGGCCTTTTATTTGATCCAGTACAATCATTTTTATATTGACACTGTGCATGCATTACGTGTTGAATTTGAAATACGATGCTTAGTTGGGAAATTTACACTTGAACCTCATCTTGATGTTATAACATTTTTCATAAAAATATGCTGATCCATGATATTGGTGTTGGGTTTTTGCTCAGATTGTTCCAAAATTTTATTTAGAAACTAGATTGAAAAGAAAACAACCCATCCCCCCAACAAAACCCAGATCTGCTCTAACTCATAATACAGATAGACTTTCCCAGCCAGTTTTTCTAGTAATGCTTTAGCAGAGTCTAAGCCAAAAAATATCTAAGCACAACAGCAACTATATAATTAGTCCTACAGAAGTCAATGAATTTATAAAATTAAAAGTGTTCAGATCTGATCCTGAAGATACACTTTTAGCCAATCTAAACACAAATCTGAGATCAACACACAGAACATGGGTAAAATTTATTAGTCTGTCAGATGCAAGATGATTCTGGAGGAAAAAAAAAAGTAGTCTCAAACACTGCAGAAACACCTGCATATGGTAATTCTAGGAGGCAGAAGTTTTCCATGTCCATAAAACACTCAGTCACCTTATAATTCAGATCCTGTGATGGTTAAAATTCATATTGAACAGTAACAGCATTAAAAAAAACCCCTCTGTTATAATTATATTTCACACAGCAATTATTAATTCACTTGACAGGCCAATGGTACTGAAGAAATACAGGCAGGCAAATGTTCTTTCTTAGCGTAAGGCTCCAAAACCACCTTATGAGCACATGCCCTACCAACTATTCTTCTGTTACACAAATATCCTTTTTCTCCAACTCAAACAGAAAGCCAATCTCCCTCCCTGAGGAGGGTCCTATAAAGAGGAAAAGATCAGATTTGTATCCTATCTGATGGAGTTCCAAGAGTGATATCAGCAACGCAGACAAGACTAAGGCTTTATCAATATGTCACCTTCAGCCACAAGTAAGGCCATCAGACTTCAAACACCTTTAACTTCACAATCAACCATGGTAAATGATGGGCATTATTTGTACCACAG